GTGGGGGCCCAGCCCAGTCTCGTGGGGGCTGTGCTCGCCGCTACCTTCACTTGGCTCGCCCGGATCCCGCCTCCGCGCCGCCGACCACCGCCATCTTGGAGAAGGAGAGAAGAGCGCGAGCGGCCAGGGAGCCTCAGTCGAGCCCAGAGCGCAGACTCCGGCTCGCGAAGGGGAATCCCAGCGGCGAGAGCGCCGAGCGCATCGAATGTACCCCGGCGCTCGCCGAGCGCGGGGCCTGGCGCTCCTAGAGCATTTATTTATTTGCTATGCGCCTAGCTTGGGCGAGGAGCTTTACAAACATTTTATCATTGACTCCTCACTGCATGCTACTTGAGGTAGGTTTCGTCACATTTTACAGATGAGAAACGGGCTCAGAGAGGTTACGTGACTTGCCCAACGCTACACAGGTGTCTGGAATGGGAGGCAGGTTACTACTACCCTTGGTCTTCTGGTTCCAAATGCAGTGCCCTTTCCGGAAGACTATGCTGTTTCTTTCAAGATGGTCTTATACAGTAATTCTCCTCTTTGCAAAACCTAGGTCCATGCACATAAATGCAGTGGTGCCTCTTAGGAATTTAGCATCTACGTTTGGGTGTTGGGCATATTTGGATTGAGGTGGAAGAATACTTTATAACAGTGCACTGTAAAATAATTTGCATGGCAGATCATCTGCATTTCTCCTCATAAGTTATTTGCATTTAAAAGTTAGAAACAGTCTTCAGAGAAATGAAGAGATGTCACATACAGTAGAGAGAGGTGTTTTTCCGGTTTGTCTGGAGAATTTGGACCAATGGGTAGAAACTACAATGTGCAAATCTTGGTCCAATATGAAGATGAACTTATTTTTCTAGAGCTGTTTAACTGTGTTTGGCTACCTTGTGAGATCGTGAGCTCCCGGACACCAGAGGAAGACAAGCAGAAGTGCCCTAGTTAATGAAGAGTGGAGCAGTTAGAGAGATAGATGGGCTTCTAGAGTTGTGAACCCCATGAAACTGTATGCATAACTATGTGTTTATGCACATGGGTATGTTTCTGGGGTTTAGATCTCATCAAAGATTGGGAAGCCCAATCCTAGTGGCCTCGCCATTCCAGAATTGGACAGGTGCCTGAAAGCGATATAGTTATACTGCGCTCATTTTACAGACTTAGAAATTGAGGCCAAGAGAAGCAAGATGATTTGTCTCAGACCACACTGCCAATCGGTGATCAGATGAAGATTAGAAAGAAACCGGGTTATTGGACTCTTAGTTTGGCGCTCTTTTCACCATATCGTGCTCTCTCTCCCTTTGCACTAAGTAGAATATCGCATTCTGTTTAATCAGAGCTCTTGCAACTGTGAGAAGCTGAGATGTTCAAACACTTGAGACAAAGTTGTTGACTTCACTCCTAAAACGTAGCAAATAATAAATAAAACTAGCATCATTGCCTCTTTTTGCTCAACCCCCATCCTCCTCACCAAAAAGACAGGCAATAAATTTCACCAGAACGTACAGGGTTGCACTCCTGGGACACCTCGTCTGATGTTAGGCTTCCCTGTGAAGTATCGAAGAGCCTTAAGAATGTATTTTTCTCCTGTTCTTCAGTATTGTCAGGATGTTTTCAGTTTGAGTGACAGAAATCCAATTCAAAGTAGTTCTCAGAAGAAGAGAATTTATCGGTTGACTTTATTGAAATGTCCTGTACCATCAGGTATGGCTGGATCCCGGGAGGGACTCAGGTCTCTTGACATCTCTCTAGGGTGCTTTCTGCTGAGTTGGCTTTGTTCTCAGGTTCCAGATGGTGATTCCAACAGCTCCAGGCTTTATCGTCTTTACTACTAGCAGTGTCCCTGGAGAGGAAGTGTCTTTTTCCCACTTGTTTTGGTAGATGTCATGGTATTATTCCTGTTGGTGAATTGAATCAGGTGTCCAAATGGAAAGCAGTCGCTGTGAACAAGGGTGTGGGCTATGCTGACTGGCTAAATCATGTGACATGTTCTTTCCCCAAAGTAAGGTAGACTCAAGGAAAATCAGGGGTTATTGTCAGCAAGGAGAATGGGTGCTAGGTGGGCAAAAACGATAGCTGTCTACCCAACTGTGCCACTAGTTTTGACCTGAATGCCTCATGAGTCCCATTTGTCCCATTGTTTCTTTTATCCCCCCTGAGGATGGACATATCAAGTTATTACTCATCTTAACCCCTTGTAGACCTGAAAGTCACTCGCTCCTCAGTCTGCTCTCTGCTGAGTTGCTCCCGGGCTTGTTTGTGTCGCTGCATGTACACTCATTCATTTAACAAATATTTACGGAAAACGTGCGTGGGGCACTGTCCTAGGTGTTGAGAATAGGGTAGTGAACAAAATTGAGTATTTGACTCTCTGGAGCTTCCATTCTAGTTGGGCTTGAGGGCAGAAAAGAAATAAACAGACATACCATGTGAGGTGATGATCAAAGGCAGAGAAAAAAGCCAGGAGGGAGTGGAAGCGGGAAGGGTTGTTCTTTAAAATAGTGATCAGGGGAGGCTTCTCTGATGAGATGTACCCTGGAGGGTGGCTCAGTCAGAAGTGGAGGGATGGTGGGAGCCAGGAAGTCATAGCTCCTAGAATGGATGCAAAGCCTTCCTCTAAGGCTCGGTGGGAAAATATTCTCTATTGAATGTCCTGTTATGATTCTTTTGTTTCTGAAACTTGGAAAGAGAAAAAAGAGGATTTTCTTGGTAGCCTGAGATGGAGAGGAACTTGATCGCAGTAGGTTTTGTGAGTAGGATGCCTTGTCCTGTGATGAGTTGAGGGTGGCATCTGAGATATGTGAAGACTGGCTGCTTCTTGGGCTGGGGCTGTTCTCTGGTCCACCTGACCCAAGTCACACTGCTCAGTGCATGGCAGTAGCCAGTGGTGGCCCATCCAGTTGTGGCTCGATTTGTACCTTTTCCTTTTCCAACCATTTTTCCATGCTTGGCCCTTTCCAGATGTGATGGGAGCAGTTTCTTTGAGCTAAGTCTGACAGGATGCAGTGATGGGTACACACATTAGTCAGGGCCCTTCTGACTGAGATTGATGGGACCTAATTAAAACTACCTTAAGAGACAAGAATAAATTTATGGCTCACGTAAAAAAACACTCAGAGCCAGAGAGAAGCTGGCCCTCTAGACAACTGAGGCCAGGGACTTAGATCCCTCCCTTTTAGCGCTCTCTCAGGCTGGCAGTCCCCTTGGCCACAGACTTATGTCTTTATAGTCTGTCTCCTGGCCAGAGAGGAAAGAGGGCTTTCCCACACTAGTTCTATGGAGGAAAAAATCCCAAGGAAGAACTTTGATTGGCTGGCTTGAGGTCATTAGCTCAGTCAGTATTGTGATGGATTGTTCTTGGCAGAATGAGGAATGGGGCAGGAGTAGGTCCACAAAAGAATGGAGGACTCTATTCTGAAAGATGAATAATAAATCTACTAAAGAGAGGCAGTGATACTCTGTGTTCCTGCTTTTGAGGAGCTTACTCTCATGTGTGTGTTCCTGCATGCGTGTGTGTGTGTGTTGTGAGAAATGTAAAACAAATCCATAAAGAACATATACAAATTGAGAAGAAAGATGCTCCACAATAGATGCCCTCGTCCTTCATTGGGCTGTTAACAACAGTGTCCTAACTCATTCTTGTCCTTCAGGTCCCCCTCTCTGCTTCTGAGTCTATTCCCCACTAGCTATAAGGATAAAGCACTGCAAAGATGAGGTTATACTCTAGTTAATGAAATTTTAATAGCTCCATGCACCACAAAGAGCAAAACCTTTACCATAGAAAGTCATGGCCTCTCTTATCCTGTCTCAAATTCCTCTCCACCCTTAATTCTCACATCCCTTGAAACCAGCCCCAGCCCCAGTGACCCTCTCACCGTCCCCTAGGCTTGCAGTGCCCCATTGTGCATGTATGCCATTGTGCACACATTTCCTTGTCTGTAGTGCATCTCCCAAACTCCACGCTTTTTGCCAACTCTTCGCTGAGAAAGCTCCTATTTATTCTTCAAGATGTCGCTGGAATGCCCCCTGTAAAAGTCACCTTCTGGGGTTCCCACACACTTGGTAACATGCTTCTATTCCTGACCTCCCACTTTGCATTGCAACAACTCTTTTGGGTAACCTCAGTTCCCTAGTCCTCAGGGATAGGCTCTAAGTCGTCTTTGTCTCTCTGGGCACATGGTAGGTATTCAATGGATCCTTTGATTAGCTGTTGAATGAAGACTGGGGCAAACCATTTTTCCTGGGACTCAGGAGACAGAGATGAAAATTGCTTGGGAGACTTACAGAAGGTGTAGTAGTGATGGGTTTGGTCTGCCCAGTCTATCTGTCACCACTGCTCAGACTTCAGGTAATCATAATACCTTTGCCAGAGCTTTTCTAGGGCTGTTTTAAAACTTCAGATGATGGAGGCAAGAGGTCCTTTGTGTCTCTCATCCAAATGATGAAGATATGAACCTGGGACCACCCATAGCATGCCTCCTGCCTTGGGGAGGAGCTTGTCTGAGAATATGGGAAAGACACAGGGAGGCTCCATCAAGCTGTCCCCTGCCCCTTCCGTGCTTTATTATCCTTTCCCTTTTGGGTAATCTGGCTGGTCCCCAGGCTTCAGGAAAGAGGAAATCTTTGAGCTGGTCCTTGACCTTGGATTGGGGCGTAATGGGATAGGATGGGAGGGCATT